TATATATATATATAGAGAGAGATAATGTGTACATATGTATGCAGAGACACGTATACGCACACGCACATGCGCATGTGGAGATCTTTATGTGCAGACTGTGCAGAGAGAGTCATTGATTCTCTTCGGAGTCTGCAGCGCCATCACGGATGACAGCATCCTTACCAAACCGTGTGCCTATTCGCATTCTATAGTCTACTATAACGAAACATAGTATGTTATTATATATATATATATATTATAGTGTGTCATAGTCTGCTATAGTATCTTAATTCCCAATCTTCTCGCAACTCTTCACACCCTCTTCTACTGCAAGCAGACAACTGAGGTTCATCGATGGCACCTCCACAGTGACGAGGTATGCCATCCGCGACGAAGATGACCGTGTGGAGATGCCGGCCAAGAAGAAAGCCCGAACCGAGGCGACAGCCAAGTAATTCGAGTCGGCAGCGTTTCACCGTTTTTGTACGTGTACTATCTTAATTCAGTGGGCACAAGGACAGCAGCTTTCCCGCTGCGATGGGGGAAATTACGCAGAATGCACAGAAAGTTGGCTTGTCTCGACTCCCCTCACGCGTGTTCGCACGTGTGGTACGCCATTCTGTGTTCGCAGAAAAAGGCCGCCGTGCTGCCAAAGACTTGAGAGGCAACTTCGGAGTTGGGTTCAAAGGTGCTTTCACGTACTTCATACATTTTCGAACCTCAAAAAACTGACTTCAATCCACCATACCGAAATCCGAGCCAATGCTTTCGGATGTAGGAGTTGTGTCGTAGTCTGGGTGGTATGTTGTGTTGCGAAGCGAGCTCAGCTTTCAGGGGGGCAGGTGCTCATGGAATGTGGTTTGGGGCTTAGGGACCTATGAATCACTATCTCCGGCTGTGTCTAAAATCGGGGCCTCAATAATTACCACTACTATTTTGGGGGTTCCTTATTATCACCATAGTATAATGGGCCCCGAAACCTATTCTAATGACTAAGGCCCCTACATTATCCCGTGAATTAGTCTATACTTTGGCCTCAAGGTAATCCCTATTTACGTACTGTGGGGCCAAAGTATAATACTATCTGGGTACGTACCCGGACCCTTAGGGTTCTGTAGTTGAAGCAGGAGCCCCCGAAATACCCGAGACTACTGCACCCGCGCAGTCCCCCCCATGGTTGCCTGATTTTTTCCAAGAGAGCTTCCGGTGTCTTCAATAAACCTGGACGAGGAAAAGGGGTACTGTTCACTGGGAAACCCCTAAATCCTGAACCCCAAAACCCTAAAGCCCTAAACCCTAAACCCGCCAGTCCGAGGTACCGAGGACCCCAAACTTGAAACCGAGGCATCCCCAAAACCCTTAAGTTTGGAGTCTTTCGTCCGCCGTAAACCGACGCCTGTTGGACCCCCTACACCCCTACATAAAGTATAAACGTTCATCCTTCAGGCAAGCAATATAGTGGCCTTGTACTATTTTGGGGGTTCCGTCGTATAATCATAGCATAATGAACCCCAAAACCCTATGCTAATCACTAAGGCCCCTATAGGATGCAAAGTGTATTTTGCGGCCGAGACCATCCATCTACCCTCTATTCGATCCTAGATAATGGTAGCTACTACAGGGTTTAGGGTTTAGGGTCTTAGGGTTTAGGGCTTAGGGACTGGGCACTCTATATCCCCAGTTGAGGGTTGCTAGGAGGGGATCGGGACTAAAGCACCCTAGACCCCTAAGCCCTGAAGCCCTGCCATAGGGGCCTAAAAACCTAGCAATACCGTTTTGGGGTTCCTTGTTGCACTTATAGTATAATGAACCCCAAAACCCTATTCGAATTATTAAGGCCCCTACACCAAACCTCCAAAACCAAACCCTAAGTTTCCGCTGCGGCTTAGACCCTCCATCTACCATCTGTTAGACCACCATTTCAGGGTCTAAGGAGGCTCTTGGGGGCTTGGGGATTCCTGACGGCTTAGGGTTTAGGGTTTAGGGTTTAGGGTTTAGGGTTTAGGGGTTTAGGGTTTAGGGTTTAGGGTTTAGGGTTTAGGGGTTTAGGGTTTAGACCTTTAAGATCCCTAAACCGCCGAACCCGAAAGTTGGGACTTCCTTAAAGTATCCCCATGCACGAATCATCCTAAATCCATGTTCCCTTTTTCTGGGGTGCACCAGAGACCCTTGTGATTCTTCTGGTTGGCTCTTAGGACTGTAGCCTTTTGGGTTTCTACATGAACTAAATCAAGTACAGGCAAGGCTAAAAGTTTATAACTTTTTAGGAGAGGTTCGCAAGTCAGCCCTAAACCCTAAACCCTCAACTCTGTAACCCTAAACCCTAAACCTCAAACCCTAAACCCTAAACCCTCAACTCTGTAAGCCTAAACCCTAAGAATCCCATCGCCACTCATGGGAGGTGGAGGGTGACCTAGCAGTTGGCAGAGGCCCAGGGAGCGGAGGTTTGGGCTTAGGCTACCCATAGGCCCCATATGTGTAGGGGCTTAGGGAGTTTAGGGTTTAGGGTTTAGGGGTGTAGGGGCTTAGGGAGTTTAGGGTTTAGGGTTTAGGGGTGTAGGGGCTTAGGGAGTTTAGGGTTTAGGGTTTAGGGGTTTAGGGGTTTAGGGTTTAGGGTTTAGGGTTTAGGGTTTAGGGGTTTGCG